AACGAAATCTCGGCGCATATCTCTGACAGTTGAAGTGGAGTTGGGGAGAGTTTGGGAGTTCGGGGGATCCCATCCGATCCGCGATCCCCAGTGCTCCGTATCCAGTGCCAGATCCGCGATCCTGAAACAACTTAATTCAAGTGTTGTCACTTTGTCGTGTTCCATAAACGCTGAAAAGCGCTGCTCATTAATTTTCAAGTGTAACTTTTATTAGGTATTTAAAATCCGTGCGATGGCAACATGCCGCATCCCATAAATTCGACGGGCGGTACACGTACGGTGCATCTTTTTTATTTATATATATGGTAGACCCCGATCCCGATCCCAGAGTATCCCTCATCCAGCCACATGTTGCAGTCGCCTCCCCAGCCAGCGTGTCGCACATACTTGAGATTGCATTAGTCCGGTCTACACCCTCAAAAAATATATTATATGCATTTAGTATGGAGGGGAAAAACAGAGCACTTCAGGGGAGCCGGAGAGTGATCAATGCCGCCTCATCTGCCCGTTCACAACCCATTGCATTAATAATCCATAACGCTGAAAATCGAGGGATTAGGGATGGCAGCGTGACTGATTATTACAAAATATTTATTAAAGAATAAGAGAACATTTATTTAAACATAAGAAGATAAAAAATATATATTTTAAAATAATATTCATACTTGTAAATACTTTCAGATTTTTATTTAATATATGAATATTGACAGATTCAGTTTAGTTCATAATTTTGAATAATGTTTAATGCCTTAATGGACCTTAACTGAAAGAAAACTAGTGTGAGCCTGATTTTTCAAATTTACATTGCTATACGTTTCCTGTCAGAGCCTTTTCCGGTGTGTACACACTAACACTAACTGAGCTGCCAACTCGGTTATTCTCAACAGGTGTGTGCACACTGTTCTTCGTTTTCATCGCGTTTCGTGCAATCTCTTGTGTTTAATTGTAAATTTAACTTAGTAAATCCGCGTAAACTAAAAAGAAAACGAGCACCTAGTACATCTCTAGTTGCCACCCACGGAAGGGAGCATCAAAACTATCCAACAAATGTCAATAAATCAAGAGTGCGAGTGGAGAGTGGAGATGAGACACCTCCGGCGCAGCACTCCAAAACTCGGAGTCCCCGGGTAAATCGGGTGAAATATTGTCGCAGCTAATGCTGTTAATGAAACAACGTAATTATCTATTAGGAGGGACTCGCGGAGCACCCTACTTAGGAGACTCCGGGTCGCGGCGCTCATTAATTATCCGGGAAAGTGAAAGTGCGGTCGAGAAGAAACGGAGACACAAAACCAAAACAAATACACGGGAAAATGCAAAGACAAAAACAAATGTTCTCGGGGTAAGTGATGGGGCATGCGAGTGACATTATTGTGTACTAAAAGGATTTTGTGTGTGTTTTACATAATAGCCATAAAGAATTCGATCAAAGGAAGCCGCATTGGGTTGTTTTTTGAATAGGGTAAAAAAGAGGGGGTAGTAATAGGTACAGGATATGCTCTAGAAATACCACAAGTCCTTTAAAAATTAGTTAAAGCTTTAAAAGTGCTGCTTTTATTTATAAATATTTATTATTTAAATTTATTTCGTGAATAAATTCAAGGTAAATTCCAGAATTAGATGCGCAATCTGAATACATATAAAACAAAACCAAAAAAGTGGGGGGAAGAGGCACAGGATATGCTATAGAAATACCATAAGTCCTTTAATAATATTTAAATTTATTTATTCAATATATTTTATGTAAATTCCAGAATTATATTTGAAACTATACTTTAGTCAAGCTACACTATAAACATTTTGAAGAGTCGAACACAAACCTCTTTAAATGGAAAACAAAATAATTATTATAATTATTAAAAAATATATCTATATATATTAAAAAAGATACCATTAATATTATTCTTAGTAAATCCAAATGAAACATTAATATATATTATCTAAAAACTTTCCAACCAAATATAAAGTTGTTTATCCAATCATTTGCCAATTAAGCAAAACAGTTAGCTCAAAACAGCAGGCGTTTGCCACGCCCCCAATCAAACCACAAAAAAATATATCTATTGAAATGAAAATGAAAAAGTCGGAGGCGTTATGCTTGATCTCATCTGAACTCGAGCGAAACGCCGACGAGCGGAGCTGGTGCTCCCCCCGCGGCGTTTGTCATGCGCTTAGATAACATTGTCATTAATCGTTTGTAATTAATTATCGGCTCTGGTGCGGGGCTTTATTTTAAAGTAGTTATTATTATAACGAACTGTCAACACCTACTTATACAGCTCAGTGGAGCACTTCCTTCTCCCTTTTACTGCCATGGCCTCGAAGCGATGCTTGCTTAGCTTTTTTAAGGCTATATTTTCAATAATTTAAACTTTATAAAATAAAAAAAAAAACAACTTTAAATATAATTAAATATAAAAATATAAAAAACACTTTATATATATTTTATTATATTTAAAGTTTTTGTGATATTATTATGGTTTAAATTTACACTTGTAAACCTTCAAAAACATGGTTTTAAAACTCATTGAAAAGTTTCTAAAACTTTACTTCTAAAGGTAAGTAAAACAAATATTTTTAAATATATTTACTACGAGTTTTTGTAATATTTTATTTATTTAGGATAATTGAGAATTTTTTTAGCTTATAAAAAGCATAAAAACCCTCCTTAAATATCATAGTTTTTCCAGCTCTTTAAGCTTTTGTAAAGAGACAACACTGGCACACCCCTCCTCACCCACTTTTGGGTGGTCAAACACTCTGACTGACGGTGGCCCGCCTCGAATGAGCCGAAAACCCGTTTGCCTTGCTCCCCTCCGCCCCTCACCGGGCATGTGTGTAAATGTATGTTAATTTGCCGATCGTTAAATACGAAAATTTGTTGATTTTATTGTCGTCAGTTGGGTTTCCTCTGGCTTTTGTCTTTTGCATCTTTAATTGGTTAACCATATGGCCACGATCTGATTTGTTAACGTTAACCTGTAACTTCGGGTTTTACTTCTTGTGTGGGGCTGTTAAATTAGCGTTTATCGAAGCGGACATTAAGGCTTAATTGTGGCTTGTCCATGGGATATAGCAAGTTGGTTGATTGGAAAGGAGGTTTATTTCTAGAAAAAAAAGCTTTTATTATATTTAAAAAATATTTTAAATGAGAATTTGAGACTTACATTGTTGCAGCAGCAAGCCATCTTGGTAGTGGTTCCACTTTCTGTTCCCCCAACTAGAAATAACATTGGCACAATTGGAATTTAATGGAGTCAATTTGGTGTTTTGGTGATGCATAAACTGGGCAAAAGTCTTTGGCTGGCTGTGGGTTCTGCTGTTGAATGCAAAAGTCACAATGAAAACGGAAAGCTGAAGCTGTTAATGCACTTAAGAAAATAACTAAAAAATTAAGATTTATAAAAAAAAGTAGAATATGAATACTACAAGAAACCACATAAAGGTTCTTACTTTCTCTAAAATTTACAGATTTTTCTTGACTTTAAAATTTAGTTAATTTTCCCCTATATCAACCATTATTAAAATTATTAAAAACTTTTAGAAGGAAGCCATTTCAGTAAATTTTTCACCGTGTGACGTTGCTGCCGAGTCTGATGTTGCTGCTGCTTCTGCTGCTGCTGATGCTGATGCTGCTGCTGCTGCTCCTGTTGCTGCCCGCTAACAATGCAGATCAAGAGATGAGCGCGTCCATTTCGGTCTGCGGATGAGGATCGGCCATTGTGTTCCATTTGGCATGTTGTTTTAGGAGCTCGCTAAAAAGACAAATGTGGTGTGGAGTATTTGTGGAGTTGCTGTTGGCGTTGGAGTTGCTGTGGCTCTGTGGGAGCCACAGTATAGCGCGTGTTAGTTCCACTCGTTAAGGATTTACGAGCAATTTTTATCACTTTGAGGATCGCTGACAAATCCGGCAACAACAATGCAATGCAATGCAACATGCGCATAATAATGGCAAGTTGTGTCCACACACACAGTCGGAGATATAGCCACAATTTCGGAGGAGGACATCCTACGAGTATATATACATATACCATATGTAAGACAGGAAGCAGCGCACTCGCTTGCCTGTCTCATCGTTGTCGCTGATGTGGCCAAAAGTGGCCAATAAAACCCCAGCGACGATGTCACCAAAGGAGCAGCAGTAGCAGCGGAGGAGCAGCGGAAAAGCAGAAGCTGCGGCAACGATGACGACGAATTATAGCAAAGTAATCGCACTGCAACAGTCCAGTCTTTGTCCAGTTTTGTTGTACTCTTACAAGGGTTATTAAACAGCTAAGATGAGGTATAAACACTTACCTTACAGGTGATTGTGAAATAAAAATTAAGGAAAACAAAACAGAAAGCTACAATATTTTGTTTGTAATATTATAGTTATGTAGATATATAAAGGAATTTTATAACTTTTTTTCTTTACATTTTTAATATAAGAAAAAACGCGACACTGAATTCTTGCTTTTGCACTATAATTCCCAACTAGATCTAGTCGCAACCAAGTTTTTTTTTTACTGAAATTGTTCTAAAAAAGCATTATAACAAAGTCTGGTTTGTTAAATATTAATTATAATTTTTATAAATATTTTTATATAATACTCAAGAGCATTTAAAACTGCACTTTAAAGAAACACACTCCTCCTTGGCCTTTACTTGCATTTATTTCGCATTTCTCTCTGTCTCCTTTTAACCACATTTTCAACTTGGCCAATACGATTGTCGTTGTTGTTGTTATTGTTGGCGGCTTTTGGCGTTGATTTCCCTTCCAATTTATGTGACATATTGATTTTAAATTGATGATAGTCTATTTTGCGTTGTCCCAGCAAACGTACGCAGGAAACCAACTTATTTTAGACATTTTAAATTGGCATTTTTACTGTACAGCAGAACTTTTGACCTTTTTTACAAGAAAAAGCTTTAGAAATTACTTGAAACTTGAATATAAAAAGAAGAAAAACTCTAAATAAAAATGTCATATCCCTAAGTTCGATCATTAGTTTTCAAATTTGACTTTATCGACAAAGACTAGAATTTCTCTAAAACTGTATATTCAAAATTAAAATATGCATTTAAAAAATTTCCTGTGCTGCGTGCCCCTTGAATGGGGCGTCATGTTCTTGGGCCTTACCTATGGTATCACCTATTTTATCCTCGGCACTACCGGATTGCAGATGGTGTTCGAGGGGAAATACCACGAGTATCTAATATGGTTTTTTCGCAAAATGCCAATCAATAGCTGTGTGGCGGTAGGCTCCATCGTCTTATACTTCATGGGGGTCATTAACCTTTTGTTGGCCTACGGCGCCCACTCAGTAAGTCTTGGCCAGGTCACCTCCAGACTCTAAGCTCAAGTTCCACTTTAGAACAATGACATTCTCGTTGGGATATGGCTGCTCGTGCACTTTATGTTGTTTATGCTCACCCTATACACCGCGCTGATAAGTTTCTATTTGTTCCTAAATATCGGTAAGCTGATACCAGGTTTCTATTTTCGAATATTCAATACAATTATCAAATTTTCCAGCCGCCATCGGCTATTCCATGTATGTGGTAAAGTCCTTTTATGAGGCTTTGAACTCAGCTTTGGACTCGGACTCGGACTCGGATGATGAGGAATCGAGTGAGGAAGACATCTAAATTAAGTTTGTGGGTCTTGTAATATATTAAAATATTTTTAGTAAATAATACTCGTTTTGTTTCGCTCACCAATTTACCTATTTTGCTTTGTCAATTTAGTTTTTATTTTATTTTAAATTGGCATTTCAGCTGCGTAAGAGTAGTGGTCCTACCTATATATGTATGACTTCATCAGCAGGTCCACTCCAGACGAGTTGGCTGGGAAAAGGCTTGGTGAGCTCCCTGCCTCGCTCGCCATTCATAGGCTCGCATTTAAATGCAAATTTAATTCAATTAATGATGCATCAAATGCAGCCAATGCCTAATTGCCATTCGATGATCGTCGTTGCCTTGTCTGCCTGTCTCTCTCTCCTGTCTCCTGTCGCCTGTCTCCTGTATTTTTATTATTTTTAACCCCTCCGACCAAAGCGTTTTTCTATTGCTCATCCTGAAGGATTCTCAAGCAGCTGCGACTGCGCAGGCTGTTTCTCCATTGACAATATTGATGATTTAGTAGTCTCTGCCGTTGGGCTGGCGTGCCTGTGTGGCACCAAAGGCGTAATTAGACAAGCATTGTGCAAAAGCGTTAATTAAAAACCGCAAAAAGACACAGCCAGCAGCAGGCAGTTGCCATTTTTCCAAGCGAGCAATATTGACTGCCAGCTGCGACAGCGCCATGACTCTGCCAAAAAGCACTGTGACAAATATTTTTATTAATTTTAGGAATATTGTTAACTCTAGGGAAAGAGCTATAAATATTTTTAGAACTTAAAAACCTTCAAGTAAAGGTGGTTATATATTTTAATTAACAGATTTTGTACGTAATTAAGGAGGCTATATTTCTTTTTGATAACAAAGGCCTCTTTTGCCTTATTTTCTCTTTAAAAAAAAATATGAAAAATATTGGAATTTTATATTAATTTAATAATTTACAAACCATTAACTTATAAACAATATTTTCCACAGTGCCTTTCTCTATGTTCGCCTTCGTAATGAGCCCAAGCATCGATTGCGTAAGCTCTCCGCTGATGCATCCACTCCATGGCCCAAGTTCCGTGTCCCAGCTGCCATGTCCCCAATGTCCCCATGTCCCCAGGTCCCCGGGTCCCATTAAATACCCGATCATCAGCAGCGGGGGCTGGCGCTGCTGTTGCTGCTGCAATCAGCTAATAATTTCCTTTTAAACGATCTCGGTGCGATGTGGCATGAATGGGAGGCTTCATGCGTATTTATGAGACTGATTCCTGTTCGCTGTCCGCCCAGGCCGTTGAGTGTCTACGATTTTGGATTGATTTTGACGCCAGGCAAAGAGCCAAGTTGATGGCTATGGGAACACAGAATATTGTAAAATATTGTAAATAAATAAAACCATAGAACAGAGCGAGCTGAAAGGGGTCGCGTCTGAGGAGGTGTAAAGGCGAATCGTAAATTATTGATTGCCTCTTTAATAATAAGTATCTTTGAGAAAGTTGTAAATATTTAAGGTATACTGATTTTAAAAAGCTTAATAAGGTTTTATATAAAAACTTCATTGGGTATTTTAAGGGGTTTTTAATGAACGAAGTTTGTATGTACTTTATATTTTAAGGGGGAATATAAGAAAAATTCAAAGTTAGTACGATTCTTTGAATTATTTCCGAATCTTTGTTTATTTTTAGAATTTTTAGATTTAGTTTTCACAAAAAATCAATTCCTATTTTATACTTCACACAGAGATTTTTACCTAAGATCGTTTTACCCTTTGCAAACTCCTTCAAAGTTCTCATATGTAACTAAAACTGTTCGTCATAAGTAACTTCCCATATAATCAAAAAGTAAGTACATTTCTTACACTCGTTTTCCTTTAACCGAAACATAAATTAATACTTTTGCAAATCCACCAAGGATGATGCGCATCCAGGATGCCAGGAAGCTGCTCCTGAGTCGCTTGCCAGCAATGATTCAATACCCTTTGGCTCGTGAGCAAAAGACCCTGCCGGTCTACGATTATGCCTGCCAGAATCCGCCCAAATGGGGCTACTCGCCCTTTGGCCGGGATCAGAAGACCTGGTCGGAGTGGACCTTGGCCCGGCTAGATGATCTCCTGAACTGGGGCCGCAAGGGCTCCCTTTGGCCCATGACCTTTGGCCTGGCCTGTTGCGCCGTCGAAATGATGCACATTGCTGCCCCCCGCTATGACATGGATCGCTACGGAGTGGTCTTTAGGGCTTCTCCCCGTCAGGCGGACGTGATGATTGTGGCCGGAACACTGACCAACAAGATGGCACCGGCCATGCGAAAGGTCTACGACCAGATGCCCGAGCCCCGGTGGGTCATCTCGATGGGCAGCTGTGCCAATGGCGGTGGATACTATCACTACTCCTACTCGGTGGTCCGTGGTTGCGATCGCATCGTTCCGGTGGATATATACGTGCCGGGATGTCCACCCACGGCAGAGGCCCTTATGTACGGGGTTCTGCAGTTGCAGAAGAAGATCAAGCGCATGAAGACGCTTCAGATGTGGTACAGAAAGTAGGGGAAATCTCTCCTAGAAATATTTTAATGGGTTTTTTTAAGCATTAAAAACGGTAATCCCTTAAATTTTCTTGGTCTCTCGGGGGGTGTTGCAACCCTTGAGTAACTGGAGTATACAAGAACCTCACTTGATCCTGCCTGCTAACAAAGTCAACGAGTTAAGCGCATCAGTTCCAGCGTCTTCAGAAAATGCAGGTCCTTGAGCCGAAAAGTCGCTTAGTCACCGAAACGGGGCTCGTGCTCTCTCACCCTCACCTGCACTTGAAGAGGATCGCTGAGGGAGGATCGGGGATCGGTTACAGGATCTCCAGAGAGAAAAAAGAACCTGCAGACAATAAACACTTGTGACTCTCAAGTGCCGCCGATATATGAAATATGAAGGGTTCTTGAAGCCTATGAAAGGATTTCGTTGTCTTTCGAAAATCCTTTTTGCGAATCTCTTGCCGACACGCACTTGAACTCGATGGGAAGAGGGACATCATTAAATCCTCGAGTGTGCGGCGAGTGCATTAAATTGTGGGACAAACTGTCGCATTAGTGTAATCCATTTGGCGACACACCCACAAAAAGAAAACAGGGAAAATTGGAAAATCGAGTGAATGGAAACCGAACTCACAACTCTATGAATGAAGGACCTCTCATTGAGCTCTGGCAAAAAATGAAAAGAAGAAGGACCTGCTGACAAAGGCACAGCAGGCCGACAGGCAGGCAGCCCGATCAGGGATCCTGGGAATCCGTGACTCGGACAATTCCAGCGAATAATACGAAATGGTGAAATGAACTTGTCTCAATAATCGCTCGGCAATAAAAATTAATAACAAAGCCACTGGCAACATGCTCTCGCCGGGCATTGTGCGGACATTAAATAAATTTAACAGCTCAATGACTTGTCGAAAGGTGCAGGCCGGCAGGCAGGCCAGGAGCCTGGGAATCGGGAATCAGTGGAGCGTTCGCGGCCAGGCAACCATATCTTAATTAGCGGACCACGGCCTGCATTAACCTTAATTTTTGCTCTCTTATTTTATTTATTTTTGTTTTTTTTTTTGGTTGTACTTTGCCGATTTCTGCTTAATTGCGGCGCCGAGGCGCCAACGAAAAAGCTATGTAATTTGCACAGAGAAAAATATACGTTTGTAAATTTCTTATAAATTTAAATAGAGGTTTATGTGGGATATATATAAAGTATTGTGGGGAGATGTATAAAAACTTTAAAAGCATTCTATAATTTTAATTGATATATTCTAAAAATAATATACTCGTAGCGTTACGCATCTTATAGGTTATACATAATTTAGTCTATCTACTAAAACAGCTGTAAACCTTCAAGAATTATATTTTTTATATTTTATACACTTCATATTTTATTAAAAAATTTAAGTCTCAATATTTATGCATTAAATACACTCACAAAAATATTTTTTTTTCATAAAAAAATAATTTTTAAGAACTTCAACCAAATCTTTTCCCCTGTATAATTACGTTGGCTTTTTCGCTGCAATTTGCAGTCGAGTGTCCAGCGGCGCATGCTTCAGGAATTGCACTTGAGTGAAAATCTGGAGGCCTCGGAGTAAGTGCTGCCACCGAGCACCGAGGTGGGTCCAACTACCTGCAGAGCTGTACAACTCTATAGCAGTAGAACCCCCTTTTTTTCGACACTAGAAGAGGGTTCGGGCAATGTTCCACGGATCATAAATTATGTCAGAGGGGGGAGAGACACACGGCCAGAGGGAATGCCCAACGAATTGTGTGTGTTTAACACCTAATCGCCCGTAATACTGTGCTCTTACCGATTGTGAGGTCCTCCAAAAATCGACTCGCCGCCAAAAACTGGGTCCACAAACAATGAAAACCCTGAAAAAAGCAGAGCCTCTAGCTTCATTCATTCATTCTCATTCATTTATCGCCTCGGGAACTCATTCATGGCCTCATAATGAAAATAGTTTGGATGTCTTCTTTAATTCTTACTTTTTTTTTGGCATTGTTCCTGCTGCCGGAGATTTATGTTTGTCCATGAATGTAAATGCCGTCTTCAAAATCTGTTTTTATTGGCATTATGGGGAATTGATTTGTTGCCTCGTTTGGTGGTGGAGTCTTTCATAAAATTATTATCACACTTTTGGCTATATGTGTCTGATCTGCTTTCTTCTGGGAGTATTATTAAGCTGATTTTAATTGCGTTCCGCGTTGCCTTCTTCTTGGGCTGCCTTTGATCGAGGCGTCGTAAATCTAATTTAGTGTTCTCTCTCTCTATTTTTTTGGAAATACAAAACGAAAATTTAGATGTTTTCTAATTATGCAACGAACGCCGATGATCCGATCTCTTCTGAGTGGGGCGATGTGTGTTTTGTGTTCGAATTTGATTGAAATTTATCGCCAATGCAGACACACACACAGAGAGAGAGATAGAGATCCGTAATCTTCTCCAGGGCGTTGGCTTACATAAATAGCCGGAATCTTGGCCACAATGTGTCTCTTCTGGACCCAACTGCCAATTTCGGTCTAGTCGTCAGCGCTTGAAGCCGTTATGGATACTTTACAAAGCCATAACGATCAACTTGTTTCGATCTGATCTCAGGTTGTCCCCCGAAGATCATTTGTTAAATAAAAGTGAAAATTTGTTATTTGTGGCACTCGGTTTGTCGTTCGGTTTGTGTTCGTTCGGACGATAAGAATCTTGATTTATATTATATGTTATGAGTCAGGGTTTGGTTTATGTAAGATCAACATTCCCGATGGAAATCTCTAAACTTTTTCCCCCGTCGCAAGTCTAAAGGTTCAATGTCACATCAAAGCAGATGAAATTAACTAATTTTCGCTTTCTATTTGAAATAAGTTTTATTTTTAGAATAGATTTGAAAAGATTAAAGGTGGTAGTGACTCAGGGAGAACTGATATAAGAGAAGTTATAGGCTTTTTAAATTATATTTCTATATTTTTCTATATTTTTAATTAGTTATCTCTAACAAAACAAATATTAAATATTTCTCAACATTTACAAAATTTCATAAATCCTCTAACATATGTATTTTTCAACCCCTTTAAGAAGTTATTTTTCCAATGCCTGCTCGCGATCCTCCTCTGCCTGTGTTGGCCCAAATTAGTCGCCAAGCTGCCAAAACGTTTAGTACCAAGCTCTCACCAGAGAGCTGCCCCTTGGTCCAACCTCTCCCCAACCCGCCAATTGTCCATTTGTCATGCGGGAACAATAAGGTTGACATACATTCGACCAGGTACCTTTTTGTTTTTTGGCCAGGCCCAAAGCCCCAAGCCAACTGCTCGTCATCGGGCTCATTTTCTGGCGGTAAGACAAGAGCCGCTGCTGTTGCTGCTGCTGCATTGCGCAATAAAACAAGAGTCGCCAAGGAGAATTGAGGAGAATTGAGGAGAATCCATCATTAATAAGCCCTAAAGTGGCTGCCCGATGGCCGCTCCAGGCGGGCAATAAAAACAATGGCCAAAATGGGCAATGAGCAGTGGCCAACGCACAGCAGCCACATGTGCACTTGTTGCTCGCATTGTAGTGGGTAAAACACTGAAAAAAATAATTATTAAATAGAAATAAATTATTATATTTATAAAACCTAAAACAGTTTTACAATTTATAGTTTTTAATAAAGAAAATCTTTTAGAAATAAGCTCAGAAAATGTTAGAAAGAAAAATTATAAGAAAAATGGCATTGAAATACTAATAAATTGTTTAAAATTATTAAGAATATTTTAATTAATATTTTTTCTATTTATTATAATATTTTTAAAATAGATTTTCTCCTACTGCTGCTGTTGCAGCTTGCAAACAAGCCGTAGGGAACAAAAAGCCAAACCGCTTTAGGCCATTTAAGGCAACGCAATTAATTATTTTTTAACTGTTTTGTCATTTCGGAATGCAGCCAGCATCGGCCATCATCGATCGATTGGTCCTCGCGGCGATCTCTTGGCTCTGTCTCCTTTTTTTTTTTGTTGGTTTGCTTCCTCCTTTTGCAGCCTTTTAGCCTTCCTGCTGCGGCTAAAGGACTTTGACATGGCCGCAGCAGCTTTCGCTCGTTTGATCGCTTGATCGGTTGATCGATTGATTGCTGCTGCCGTCCAGCAACCTGCAACGTGCAACCTGCAATCGGGCAAAAAATGCGCCGAGATTGTAAAACGCGTCTGTAACAAGCCGTTGCGTTAATTTGCCGCTGCCGATTGGCTACCGAAATAAAAAAGGCAATGCAAAAAATAAATAAATTGCAGGTAAAAAAATACATAAAAATAAAAAAGAGCAGGCAAGAAAAATAAACAAGTAGAGAAATAAAAGTAAATACCTCACGCAAAATGGAAAGTTTTCTTGCTTAGAGAAAAATATGCAAAAATTTTAGATATACCATAGATATAGAAATATATATATATATAACAAATTAAACAACCAGTTGCCTCGTGGCCATAAAAACAATAAAAATTCATAAATATTTCAAGCAACCTCAAACAAGTTGTTGGCCGCCTGCCTCTGTCTGCCGGGTCTTATTTGCTTTGTCTGTTTTGATTATAAAAAGCATTCAGCTTTAATTTGTCAATTTCTTAATTGGCGTTTCGTACGTTCCACATTGCCAGTATTGGCGTCTCTTTCGGGCCATTATACATGCGTCTCTCTCTTTGGCACTGGGTCTTGGGGCCAGGAATTCGATACACACAGATACTCACGAATACTCACAAATACTCGTGCTCAGTGATAGAAGAATTTTAACAAGCTACGGTGTTTTGGAATTTCGTACGTGAAGAATCCAAAAATGTTTTACGCAATTAAAGAATCTGATAAAATGTCTACAAGCGAGGAGAGCAGCAAAAAACTATACAAAAAATTAAATAAAAAAGGCGATGAAACACTGGGAGAAATATGGAACTTTAGATTCTCTTAAAGTTTAGGTTTAAGAAAGCAGGAAAATTAATTTTAATTAGGTTCAGAGCTTAGTGAACATTTAAAAATAATAATAATAATGATAATTTTACTGAAATTTGGAGGAAAGGTTTAGGTAAACGTGGTACCAAGCTGATCTAGCGAGGTCCCATGCACTTAAAGATCACTTTCTCTC